TGTGTGTGTGTGTGTGTGTGTGTGCGTGCGCGACAGACGTGTTTAGGCGGTAATGGAGTCCACTTGTAATTCGTCTGTTCCGCCTATCCGCACACCCTAGAGAAAAGCTTCTCGCCAGGGAGAGCGCCAACTTGGGGTAACGTGTGAGGCAGTCCAGTCTTCTTGGGCGAAATGCCATGTCGAAAATTGAATGAACCGGAGCTTCTCTTGTGTGTTCGGACCTCAGGGTGATTAGCAGGCTGATATTGGGGGTGGTTGGTGTTATAGCTGACTGACTAGGTGGGAGGCATTCGTGACAGGTGGCCCAGGAATTAATTTATATCTGATTTTCTATGAAATGCAAGTGTCAAAAGTTGCCCAGTCTTACTAGTCGTACATTCTCTTTTTTCTGTCTTTACTAATGATGTGTAGTTGTTTGCGGAGACACTTCATCTCGCATGCAGTGATCTTGATTTCATAATATGTTTTACGTAAATTCCAGATCTGGCAGGGGTAACATAATGTTGGTATAATCATTGAAGTGATAAGCTGTCTCTTTGTGTCCGTGGAGATCTGATAAGTGGTGGTGTTGGTGTCCAGGGACCTGTTTTCAGGACAATGCTACCAAGATTCCATTTTAACCCCCTTGACCTTTTTTGGTTGTTTGATATTCACATGACTGTTCAGATGACTATGGTTTCCGCTTGCTTTCATGACTTTTGTTTTTGGTGAGTTCATTCTCACGTCTCATTTCTCACAGGTTCTGTTCAGTTCATTGGTGTGGCTGGAGAGGCTTTGTTGGTTTGGATGAATAAGCCACTGGTCGTCTGCAAATATAATTTCGTTAAGGCTTTCTGCGCTATTGTTTGCGTCTTGCGTAATTTTGTCCATATTGATTATGGAAAGGACTGACGGCAGTGCCGGATTAAGACCCAGCTGGCCCCAAGGCACACTTCACTGAGTGGCCTGAAAAAGTTAAATATGGTGTAACCCCCCCCCCCTCCCCGCCCAACCCCTTTTATACACACGCACACACACACACACACACACACACACATACACACACACACACACACACACACACACGCGCGCGCGCGCGCGCGCTCGCTTGCTTGCAAATTCAAAACTACACACACATCACACCAATGCGCGGTCTGTCTGTGCGTGTGTCTGTCTGTCTGTCAGCCAGTCCAACGTATGACAGTATGGAATATGGACAACATACCAGTAAGATAATGTAACTAAGGTCTCACAGCAATAACATTATGCATTATCATTTCTTACCTAGATTGCCACTTGGCGTGCTTTTGCAACAGCGAATTCATCAACGACTTCGTTAATGTTGTGTAGTAAATCGCTTTCAATTGAAAGACGTGCTAGCATCCATAGCCTCTGCTGAGACATGGTTGAATGCTTAACGTCTTTAATGCGTTTCAATTGCGAAAATGAATGTTCGCCAGTGCAGTTAGTTGACATTAGAGACAGGTACATCCGCACTGTCTAAATTCCATTGGAAAGTTAGGAGAGAGGTCATGTGGATAGACATTAACAAGTGCTGATATTAAAGCTTTGATGTCTTCAGCTGACATTGAATCACACTCTGTTAAAACACCAAACTGCTGCACTACTGTTAAGTAGGTGTCAATTCGCCTGCATAGGGCACTTTTCAGTTGGACCAAGATAACCAAGAATGTATTCACTTTGAATTTCTTCTGACCCGACATTTCATCCATCACACTTGCCGCATCTCCGTCATCTACTGTTCTCCTGTGTACACGTACTCTCCGACTGTCTGATTTATTTATGCTGCTTCCACATCGGTCACATGCCTTGTCATGGTAATAGTCAAACTTTCCTCGACACTCTCCTATATATTATGTATCTAAACTTTCTAACAATCCAATGGCTGTGCTTAGTTCAATGTTGAACTTCGTAGCAGTTTACTTCAGCAATTGAAACGATGTAAAATGTCATTCCAAAGTTCACACATGAAAGCAACTTCAATAATGTTCATATAACTTGCAAGTGCGCCAGCTTCGTGCTTCGTGCTTCGTGAGACCATTCTGGTCAGTATACTCTGCAATTTCTTGTAGGGCACTTTGGAATTGTTTGTAGCCCCTGAAGACTGTTTCTGTCGCATCAGCCCGGGCAGACCACCGGGTATCAGATGGGTGTTTTGGGACAAGACATTCAGGATTTTCCTCAACGTGTCGTAATAAAATATTCCAACGATGTGTTGATGCAAGAAAAAATTAATACAAGCGCTGCAGGAACTGAAAGAAAGACACAGCTTCCACACAGCAATCTACAGCTGATTGACCAACTAAATTTAGAGAGTGGCCTGCTCACGGAATATAATTGTCCTTGGACCCAACGATTTCATCACTGGCTCGAAAAGCCAGCCCTCTATCACAAGGGAAAATGCTTGTCTTAATACAATGTAACAAAATGTTTTTCAGTATTTTGGTTGTTCCAGTAAGTTTTGGTGTAACCGCTCGTCAACATGCCCACCAGCAACACTACGTTGACATAAAGTCAAGACTGAGTTCATATTTTGGGACTTGTTTCATGTGTTTTTAAATAGTTGGTTATATTCTTCCAATCTGTAAACCCCTGACCAGAAAGATGTATGCGGTCTGGCGAAAACAAAAAGCAAGGGAAACAGAAAACACAGGCTTTGGGTGGAGAATATACTAGCCAGTCACGATCAACTACTTCTCCATTTGACAAAATACGTTTCAATGCACTGTTATTTAAATACCGATTCACGCCAAAAAAAAGTCTCGTTTTGTCTCTGGATAGTCACTGGCCAAATTCCAAAACTGGTTTGCACCGCGAGTTATGCACATTTCACGCACATCGTCCGTTATGTCACCTAGAAGCCTAACATCATTTGCTATTGTTCCTGAAATATTATCAGTTTCGATTGTTTTAGCATCAGCTAGCTCAGCTTCAGCAGTACGCTCTTCTTGGTTGCTGTCGATTTGAGATGAAGAAGCTTCACCACCAGCTACCCCAGCTCCAATAGTACTAGCAGTAGGCTTTTCTTGGTTGCTATTGATTTGAGATGAAGAAGCTTCGCTTCTACTTTTCTTTTTAACATGATAAATTGAAGTCAGTTTTGTTAATTTTTTTAGATCTTCTCCTTCTTTAATTTTCTTCTCCAACTCCTTCGCTCGTTCCCATCCACTCTTTCGTTTTGGCATTTCAAGATACTAATCCTAGCAGACACTGAGGATAAGCATGCACAAGAAAAGAACATTATGAAGTAACGTGGTAGGGCCTATGTTGTGGTAGTGGTGGTGGTGATGCTGCTGCTGCTTTTTGTTGTTGTTGTTGTTGTTTGTTATTGTTGTTGTTTGTTGTTGTTGTTGTTTGTTGTTGTTGTTGTTTTGTTTTGTTTTTTTTGCTGCTGCTGCAATGGTTTGCATTAATATTATGTCGATTCTGGTCTCTATCAGCATCCTCAATATTGTATATTATAAGTAAAGTACTAGTTTGTGTACTACTACTGACTAAGATCAGAATGCAGTCATACTGCATAGCCACTGTCAAAATAAAAGATATCCAGTTGCAGCCAAAGCTGCCGTTTAAAAGACCTTCTCCCACACATACACACAAACTTTCCTGTCTCCCCCCCCCCCCCCCTCCCCTGCCCCCAATCCCACCAACTCTCACTTTCCCGTTGGGTTTCTTCATTTTCCTGTTAGTATGAAGAAACATTTGTTCGCGTAATTTAACATCTAGTTTTACCGACATATGATAGCATTAGTATTGAAAATAACTATTTGGCCCTCTGTTGCTTAGGCTAGCAATATGTAAGTCATAAATCATAACTCACAAGGCATTTATAAAGCGCCCACTTCAGAAGATCTGCTCTGAGGCGCTACAATTTGGATCAATTGAATATTTTCTGGAACAGAAATGTCTTGTCTCAACATTTCCTATTGCTGCTGGCAGTGCGTTCCATAAAGATGGGGCTGAAACACGGAAAATACTGAAAGCCCGATTTCCGATTTTTGTTCTGGCATTTCTAGTTGACAGTCTTAGGTGTTTACCCTGTCTTATGTTTCTGAAAGATGCTTTCACATTTATGAGTTCTGTGATCTAGGTCTAGGATGGTCCAATTTCGTGGATTGCTTCAAAAGCTAACAGTAGGATCTTTAGGTTAACCTCACAAGTAACTGTTGAGTCCCGAGTTCCGGGGAGGGGGAGTTGTGGAGGGGATAGGGTTTAGACCTAAAAGAGGGGATGCTATTAAAATATATATAAACACTGCGCTACTAGACTTAGACTAGGTTGATCTAGATCTAGGTTTATTCTACGTTTTATATAATTCATTCGGAATCTGGACACTAATTTTGTAAGGTTTCAATTTGCTAAAAAAACACAAAAAATAGTACCAAAAAAAACTTTTTACACGTATAAAGTTGCCTTCCCTTCCTGTCCCTTCCCTTGCTTAAAACGTATATGCCTAATAATAGATGTCTGAATTATTATACAGATAGCACCTTGATTTTTTTATATCGGGGGTTTTGTAAGCACAGTTCACCTTTCACCTCATGTGCACTTAGAAAACTGTCGAATTTGGCAGAAATTAGGCTAGAAATGTAGCATTCGCAGTTCGCAGGCTTTTGACTCCAGCAGCAGGGCCACAACTATGGAACTGTTATCTGGGTTGCCAGGTATCTGGTGACTTTAGAGGCCAAATGTGTTTGATTTGGAACCCACTGCTGATGATTCAATTTAATTTTTTTTTAAATGTGGCCCAGAGAGAGGCCAAACAAAATGTCACAGCACTTTCTGAACTAGGCCTGGGACTAAAAACTCAGTCGGACTCTGGTTTGGGCTAGCCTAGGGCTATTCTAGTTGTGGCCTTCCTGACTGGCCTTGCTGCGGCCTGATCAAAACGGGGGAAAACCCCGAAAAAATGTGGCCTTGTTGTACCCTGTCTCTAGCCCGTTTGTGGCCTATTTTTTGAGTGGCCCCAAGGCAATTGCCTTATTTGCCTAATGGTTAATCCGGCACTGACTGACGGGAGATAAATACTACCACCACTAAAAATGCCATTAACGTAACAAACGCGAATGGTTGTTTTGCGAACCATATCACAAGGTCAAACTGCGAAGAAACAATTATCTCAGATTTGAGAAATCGATACGGTGTTGTGGAAAATCAATCAACTTTGAACTTAATCGGACGAGTACACACTGTTTTAAGTTTAAGATGAACTAAAAAGTCACCTTATCAACGTAAAAAAATTCAAGTCAAACATACTTATCTCTAAGCTACACCCCTGATCTTAGGGTAGGTAAGATCTAACACCTAGGCTTCTTTGGCGAGGGCGAAAAATCCCGCGTGCGAGCTGTGCTTGTTGAAGATTCCTTGGTGGTCCTAAAATCGATAAGAGTGGGCTTCGGCCGCAACGCTTGCAAAATTGAAAGAATAATTCTTACCAAACTGAAAATGCTTAATATGTTCCTCGCGCTCATATAACCGTATGTAGTTGCGAGCGCCGTAAAACACTTACTAAATAAATAAATAAATAAATAAATAAATAAATAAATAAATAAATAAATAAATAAATAAATAAATAAATAAAGGAATAAATAAATAAATGAAAATAAAATTTGATAAGAATAAATTAAAAAATAGATGTATATAAATACACTGTACTCAACTCTTTAACTCCTCTTGGTCCTCAGACGGTCGAGATCCGATGCACGATCAAGGCAGACCCTCAGCCGAGCGTCAACATGAGCGTGAGCAGAGAGACCGGGTCAAGTCCTTACTTGAGGCCGCCCATCGCTACCCAAGTGCGTCAAGACGTATGGGCGTATTCTGTCTTTGTGACGTACGGTGATGACGTGAAGGGCAATGTCACGGGCGGGTATTGCACGGGAGCCCAGAAAAAGGGAAAGAACCCAAACCTTACTGCCTATTACTTGAATTATTTGTGGCTTCGTGACGAACGTAATCCTCTCTAACTAAAGCGTTAGCAATAACGAAAAATCTGGCAAGGGATAAAAGCTGATTTGTAATTTAAAAAATACTGATAATAATGACGATGAGGATAATAATAATAATAATAACAACAACAACAACAATAATAATAACAAAAACAAAAATAATAAATAAATAGAAATAGAATAGTAGATAAAGCCATTGATTTCTCACGTAATTTAACGATTGAGTTTTCACAGATTAATTTAGATCAAACGAATGATCACTATGATTATATGAGTGTTTGATTTCTCCAAATAAATACACATTTTTAAAAATGTATTCGAACAATATTATAGTATGCTTGGAAAAGGCCCAAAGCTATATGAGTGCAATTCAGAGGAAATAACTCTCTGTTAACTTCTATCTCTGAGGTAATGTTAGGCTTTTTGTACAATGGAGAACACAAATTTCTATAAAAAGAAATGCATCGACCAAATGATGGTTCTTTAGCGCTGGACAAAAGCCAAACTGGCCATAGTAAAGAGCGAAAGGAGAGTAAAAAAGTGGGATCTACAAGTGGTGCTTTTGGGTACCGACGGAGAAAAATACCTGTTGATCAATTCTAAACGTTTAAAATTTTATTTAACGTCCGTCACTGATCGTGATAAATAAGGTGTACAGAGGGTATTGATCTAATTGTGTGAAGTGTAGTTCTGTGACACCACTACCTACACCGTTTGGTCAAGAATACACCACGAAGTTGTTTGGATTTTAGCAACCGTCGTAATTGCCTTACATTTAGAGTGTAGGCAAATATTTTCGTAGAATTTATTAATAAGCATATTGAATGTATTCCAATTCAAGCAATGTTCTAGAACAGTGTCTCCATCGTCGGTCCTAAACCTGCATGTTATTCCCTGATCCTTTCTGTCTAACGAAAGCTATAATTTTCTTCGGTGAATAAAGTAAAGTGAAATGAAAACTTCGTGTTTTATTTTTTGGATGTTAAAACATGCTTTTCTTCCGAGTTGGCATCTCAATTAGAGTCCTTCATTTGTAACATCATGCGCATAAAAGACCCCACCCCTCCACCCTCAGGAAGTGTCTTGTGCGTAAGTTGTGTTTTACTCTGATGAAAGGCACACCAGTCCCTCGATGAAGGTTTGCTTGTTTCCAGAGAGAACGCTTCGGTTGTAGGGTTTGGTGTTTGGTGTATCGAAGTCTTTGTACAGGCAGGAGATATGTTATTATATTTTCGTTAAAATTTAAGAGAATGGAATGTAATTATTTTATTATTTTCAGGAAGCTTTACGGACAATTCCTTGGGGGTAATGGGCTATAGCTTCGTTGTGGTCAATGCCTTCGTGGCTCGTCAGCTGGCGAAAAGAATGCTATGCTTTCCTCATGCAATGTATGTATCTGAATTGGGAGTTTCAAGGACTGGTATAACTTGGCAGCTGGAAAAATATTGGAGTATTAAACAGAAATGAGAAATAGGTGTCAAATATACATCATCGGAGAGGTGAAAGTGCTGTGGAAGTGTCAAAGTCTTAGATATGCTGAGGTGAAGATGGTGTGTGTGTGTGGGGGGGGGGGGGGGGGGGCTGCAGAAAGCTAAAAGTCGAAGAAGAAGACACTGAATTAAACGTTCGAGACAATGGAAAGACTGAGATACTCGATAGAGTACATTTCTCCACTTGGGAATCAAACTCAAGTCTTCTACAAAATAAAAATGTATTTGCTAGGCCAAGGGCTAAACCATTTCTCTACGGATACAGCAGTACACCTCCCATAGGATGGAACCAAGAGGATGATGGCTTTTGAACCCTCCCCAAATGTATGTGAACTGCATCTATTCTCGGCAAATGTGCCCCCCCCCCCCCCCCCCTCACAACAAGCCACTTTCGAGAACAGGAAATGTATCGTATTTTATCAGGATGCCAACTGACTAACAGTGCAGTAGAAGAGGACTAGTACCCACAGCATTAACCTATGTGAAAGATATTGTTCGTCCACATCCGTCTTCTCTGTCATTGACGAGTTTTTTTTTCAGTTGAGCAGACTTTTGTTCGTCCATCAAAACACAAAGCAGACTTTACTACAATGTTAAGAATAGATAATACTATAATGCAACAATAGCCCGTATCAGGAATTTGGACAACAAGGAAGTCACAACTGCCTTACATGGTCATTTCTTGAGAATCCGGGGACCTATCTAAGATAGATTAAAAACCCAAATCTACATTCAGATTAACCCATTTCTATCTGTAAGCATGGTGTTCGTCTTTTTAAAGAAAGTATAAGTCAAATACCTACATTATAATGCAGGGAATCTGATTACTTTTTCGTTACCACTGACTGAGCAAAGTTTAGGTCGTTTTTTCCTTTCATTGAAGAAGAAAAGGATGGGTTGTTTAGAAAAAAAGTATGAAGAACATACATGATCTGTATGTCCGCTTCCTTTTCATGATTTTTATCATTCTAGACACCACTATTGCTTTTACCCGGAAAGTCAAGTTGAGTTTCTTTCTACAGATCCTTACTCTGAAACGAATTTTTTAAGATGTAAAATAAGAAAATAACTCAACGTATTTCACGCTAACCTGTTGCAAAAGATTGGTCGAACGCAGTAGTAAAGTTAAAGGGAAAACACTTGGGGCTTCCTCACATCCGTGTTGTACAAGTTAATTAACCCCATGACCTCAGCTTTAAATCGAATGATATTTTTACTGAGAGCATACTTCTCTATTCGTTTTAAAAAGACGTTTCGTGTGGGCAAATGGGATGTTGAAAGACGACAGAATTGACCTTAAGCTCCATATTTCTCGAAAATCGAGCAACGAAAGTAATTTTGTCATACAGCACTACTCGAGCCAAAGAGATTACTAGAGATATTAACTTCCGGATAATGTAATGATTTGCTCAGCTACACCTGACTTCTGGTTGGGGCTTATTAGTTTAAAACCGTTATTTAGTAACTAGCTGGGCCCCGTTTCTATGAAAGGAATGATCGGTGCATTAACATGAACCGAAAGCCATTGGCCTACTATATTTACACTCTACTGGAATGGAGTAATAACTCTTGAAAGATGCAAAATGTTAGAAAGTCTAGATCTATACTCTCAAAACAAAATGCGCCTTGCGAAATGTCACTTCCGGAACTTCCACTGTGAAGGACAGCATACGCAGATTTTTTTTCCGTTTCTCAATGGAATAATCACAAAGGCCAAAGAAGGACGGGAACTTTTTGTCAAATATATTTGTCTAAATTCAGGAAATGAATAAATAAAAAATTGGGCTCCGTCATGGGGATCTATCAATCTTTTTGCAGGTACTTACCAACTTTCAACTCTGTAGCTGTCGTAGTTTTTAGGGAAAGTGACAAACGTGTTTCCAAATTGCCAAATGTATAATAGATGTCCACATTGTTGGGGATACATTGCGAGTTATGTTTACATTTGCATGTTAGTAGAATTTTCCCCAGGTACACACTTCCACTTATAATAATATGCTTTCATGAATGATTGTACGTCAGTGAGTGTGGCGAGATGTAGTAAGGTGGAATTACAATTCACGGGGGGGGGGGGGGGGGGGGGGACCTTGTTTATCCCAATCACTGTTGTTTTTTTTTGGGGGGGGGTGGGGATCAACATCTTTCATGGCCACTTAAAAACGCATTTCTAATTGAATTTTACGTATAAACGTTGATTAAAAGCACAACAAAATGTCAATTTGTGGTTTCCAAGGACAACCATACAGCTTGAGAAGTCAAAGAGCTTTGGCTGCCATTTTCTCTCTAATCTTACTTTTGACACCACACGACCCCCATCTCCTTCAGTTCACAATATCTCGACATCTGTTAAAGTTAGATGGGTGTCCTTTAAAAAATCGAAAGTAAGGCAAATGCACAGGCTTTGATTAGGATTATATCAATAGCTCCATATACCCCCAAACTAATGAGTGCCTCATTCCACTGCGTCGTGACACAACTAGAATGCCGCTCGTTCAGTGGTGACTGTGTCCTTATCTGCTTTCTTGTGCACGACAACCCAGCTGCAGATTTTAAAATGCCGACAGTGACTCTGCATTAGAAGCTGGTAGTGACAAAAACATCTTTATTTAAAAGTAAAACTATAAATCGCTCTTCGAAACCAACTAAAAAGAACAACTCCGATGCGCTGAGAACAATCTGGTGAACTGGCGTTAGAAGAAGTATGCCCTGTGTTCAGAACGGCGTACTCACAGATACAGTACTTATTTAATTTAAACTTTGAGCTACTCTAAGGTACACTAAATGGACCCATTGAAAACAAATCAGATTACGCGCAATAACTGTTGTTTTGAGAAAATCGCGTTTGGACATTTTTATTGTTGTTTTATTTTGAATTCGTAATGTCCACTGTTCTTTAAATGCGTCTTAAACGTTTTAAGATTCTAGACGTATTGTTTAAAATTGTAAAAACAGTCTAGTAGCTCTGAATTAATCTTATTGTCATATATATATTTCCTAAACTATCAAACATGAACTTTCCAGCTTTTGCACAATGATTTGTATCAATTTGTACAGATTATAATGTTTTTGTAAATACCTGTTAGCTGTCTTATAGAAAATTCTTTAATAGATATTAGTTGTAAAAATCCAAGTGGGTGGTTTCTACAGATTTTAAACGGTTTACAGCTGGGGCAATATCGCTTTAATAAACAATTCTGTCATTTAAAAAAAAATAATAGTAATAGTGGCATTATCTTTGTTGGTCGCATGTTTTGAAAAATTTAGGTGCCAAAAATGTGTTCCATGTAAAATTCATTTCTTGTACCAAGTTTTGCAAATAAAAAGTGTCATTGTGACCTGTGACGTAGGCCATATGCGTATGCAAAATGTGTGTGACAAGCAGGAAGTACTGTGAACAATCCCATTTTCCGCGTGACGTAGATTTATAGATCTAGTATCTATTATCTATTTGTGGTGGCTGAATTTTGCTATTCAAAAGGCTTTTTAATGGCTACATCGATCAACATATGGTTTTCGCCAAAAGATTCTTTAAAATATTCTCCAGATCATGAAGTCCTTCGTTTTTTCAGTTTTGAGACAGTTTTGCTGCAAAAAGCTAAATTTCTTTATTTCGCCGATCGCTTTTGTTGGCCGACGCTTCTGTCTCTGTAATTTTAGAAAATCCGCCAGGTTTGTTTATTTCAAGTCGTACTTCCGTTCGACACTATCACGCACCGTCGCTCAATACTGAGCACTACTTTAAGTGTGCGACCCGTATAGATCTAGCCTCATATTTTCTTTTTTTACTTGGTGCTAAATTCGACTGTGATCCTTTCGTTTGATGCCCATCATCGCTTTTTCTGGACTCCTTTGTCAAATCCTTTTTCTTGCTGCTGGGAACAATCAACACGCTTCTATCTCAATCCGTTCATAGTTTTATATAAATTTACGAAGAAAAGTTTTAAAAAACTTTCCTCAATTATTGTGGGAAAACATGATTAAGTTGAGACTAATAGAAACAAATTGCTATGCAAAGTGTGGATGGCATTGTTGGGGATAAGTTGCGCCACAAATTTTTGACCGCACTCAGTTGTCTAACTTCGCTATCAAGGGTCAAAATGTAGTTTCTCTTTCACATACATTTTTTATCTCGTCACCCAAGTCGATCTATTTTCATGAGGCTTGATAACTAAAGAGATAACGCAAACGATGTAGGGATTCTTTGGTCTCCGAGTTTACTTGAATATCCCTATTGTGAGATGTTGTCCTTGCGAACTAGCTGAAGGTCCGTAGCTTCGTAGGAGGAGGAGGAGCAGGTGTTCTTGTCTTTGTTCTCTCTCTCTCTCTCTCTCTCTCTCTCTCTCTCTCTCTCTCTCTCTCTCTCTCTCTCTCTCTCT